TTCACAAGATTTCTGTGCTTCATTTCCTAGGGGATAATCGAAAAGAAAAAAAATTATTACTTTACCTTAAATTTATAGTCTTAGAAGCGATAGTGCAAGATTTTTACCTTTAAAGTCCATTTATGTTTTATGTATTATGTTGCTCATTTGTGTTGTTGTTGTTGTTACTAATCTCCATGTCTAGGAATATACTAGACAAGGTTCACGAGTCCATTCACCTTCAGAAAATCGAAAACAAGCTTACGAGACTTGTAAAGGTCCTCAAGAGACAATCTCCAGGCAACTCAAGGATATGTGCCAGTGATGCCGGTGCATTTTGACATTTAGATCAAATTGGGTGAATCTTGAGACCTCTCTCAAAAGTAAGTCCTTTTAGGTGTCCACTGAAGAATCGGGAAAGTGTTGTCTCAACACATCTATGGCAAATCAATAGCAAGAGATCTTCCAGGACAATCAGCTTGATACCAGGGATGATTTGGGGTAACGAGTCAATTTGCCTGTCTGCATATCTTCTAATGGAATACAGTTCAAGATATGTCAATGAATTGGTAACTAGTAATGGTTCTTCAGAACCCTCCTTCGCCAGAATGTCTGCCATTTCATTCCCCCATATGCCAACATGGAAAGGAATCCACTGAAGGTGCATTTCGCAGAGTGACGAGACCTGCTTAAGCTTGCTAAGAATTGCAATTCCAACTCTATCACCAACTCTCCGCCAGTTTGAAAGATATTGGATGACGCATGATTGTTAGACAAAAACCATACTGCCTTAAGATCTGTAAAGGACAAAACGGCGTTTAGTCCCTCTTCGATGGCTATAAGCTCATTCTTAAAAACCGAACAGAAGTCAGAATTTCCTTTTTTTATACCGTCGTTTTCCGAAAATAAGACACTGTCTTACTTTCTTTTAGTTGGTCCAAAATGCGCGCTAGGGATTATTCTCGGGGGAGGGCAAAAATAAAAGTATATTTATATATTTTTATTTAATATTTATTTTACACAGAATACAGAAATTTAAATTTATTCAATTAAAGTCATGTCATCTTCTTCTGGAACATCGTCATAAATAAAATTCTGAATTAAATTTGGATTTTCTTCGAAATCCATTTCCTGTTGAATCATTGGTCCGAATCTCTCATGTCTTGCGACATAGCTATCGTCGCTGCGTCGTATGTGTCTCGGGGGTTACGGTTCAGCCCAAATTCCGACGAGAGTCTGTCGACGCTAACGGATGACGATGCCTTGCCTGTGAACGTATCTCTCTCGGGGCAAACGGTGAGCTGGTTAAGATAAATTCCAAGAATTAATTTGAAACGAACTGTAGAGGTAAACAATTAATTTCTCGGACTATTTTGTTTCAAACATTTCTCTGAAATACGAGTATTAGGAAAGCTAAACATATTATTACTTATACTTAATAAATCAACAGCATTTTTTAACGAATTCTTTTTGTCACATTATTTTAACTAGGGATTATTTTCAGGGGATGTCTTATTTTACAAAAAAGTTCCGAAAATCACGATAGGGCTTATTTTTGGAGGATGTCTTATTTTACAAAAAGTTCCAAAAATCACGATAGGGCTTATATTCGGAGGATGTCTTATTTTCAGAAAAAGACAGTATTAACAATATTTCCATTTGTGCATTTAATGACAACTCCACTACGGAACGAGAGTCCTCGCTTTTACTACCATCAGTATAGATAAGGGTAGCTTCAGCGGGAATTGCATGTATAGTTTTTAAGGCAGATTGTCGTAACAGGGCCGGAATATCATTTTTCTTGGAAACTCAAGACAAAAGTTCCGAATGAAACTCGACTCTAGGGAGTCTCTCAGACGGATCTAAACATTGTTTCAAGGAATGCCTCAACATTACGGTCAATTATACCAGCATACTCAATTTGACTAAGTGGGCAATTTTTCTTAAGTCTTTGTTTATTACTCCAGTGCTGCAGGAATTCTGAAGTTCTGTATTGGGAGCCATAACTGTAAAATTTATTATAATATTTTGCAAGGCTAGCATCTTCTTAGGCTAAGGGGTTGAAGGTCTGTTTCATAGAACGCAATTTTATTCGTGCAACTGTTGCGTAAGCCAGTTATAATACGAGAAGCACTAAGCTGGACTTTTTCCAATGCTCATTTATTACTTATATATATGAAAATCTGTATTAATCTGCTATTAATTAATCTGCTCACAGAAAATAGAATTCCCAAATTTAAAAGTTTCCAAACATTAAAAAAAGCAAGCATTAACTACAATCTTTAAATTACATGTTTACAGCGATATGATTATTTTACTTTCAATTGAGAGGCGGGTAAAATAGGATGGTATTACAGGTAATTTAAAGTTCATATGTAATTAATTTTGTATAATATAACTTCTTAATGTAATTATTCTCTTGTAAAATATGTATGTATTTTCTCAATTTTTAGTTTAGAAACAACTATTCTGGCAACGTTCATTTTTACTAATAAAGGGCCAATTTCTTTTCAAAAACATATTAAAGCTCGATTACGTGAAGGCTTCAATCTTTTTTTTAACTATCTTATTCCACTGCTTTTGGTAAGAATTGGTTTTCATCGAAATTCTTACGTTTAAGACCAGTGGCCATTTTGTTTTCAAAACGACCTTGTATGATATGATGCCATTTTACTATCCCATAAGTTGTGAGCTCACCGAAATCTCCTCACATATGTTAAACACGTTTTCACGGTTGGACTAAGATTATACAGCCAACAGCCCGCCAAAATGCACCACTCTGGAAGCATCCCTTTTTCTTTGCTTTACACCATGTACTTATGTCTCCCTTCCAAATTCAACGATTGTTTAATGATTCTAGATATGGCAACCCGGCTAAGCCGAGTTCCAAACATAGAATTTGACAACCTGCCTTTGTATATGTATTACTTTTCCAGCAAATTCAGCCATTTTGAGCAGCGCATCTGGATACGGCAACTGTAAATTTTACAAGTTTTAATAAAGAAAGATAGGACTTCAAGATTTCGAGATATCCCTCTAAGTGAGACTTCGTAAATGTTGAATATTTTATATAAATAAGTAAATTAAGTTTTCGAAGGTTTCAAAGTTGTACAGTTCTACCAATTTTTCTTTCACAATACTGCTATTAGCAATTTTATTTTTTCGTGAGTTTAATTCTCAGAGTACGGATAGCATATAGGGAAAGCTCAAGTAAATGTGAGACTCTGTGATCTGCATTTTCAAAAAAGGGCTTATTTAAAATGTTTTAAAATCTCACATTATCCAGAGGAACGAAACATATTATTCGGCGCTCTTAATCGACCCAGTTCGGTGTTTAAAATACTTACCCATTGAAAAGTTCTGTTTGGAACATTAAATAGAGGAGACTAATATTTTGATTTTAGCATTTTTCACTTTTCAAGTAACGTTGCTTCTTATATTAATGTTTTCACTGCTACTATTATAGTTATTTTAATTTTAAAGCTTACACTATTGTTCTAACAATTTTCAACTTCCCATACAAAAAGTGGGCAGGTATCGTAAGATAAATAGCTATCCAGCATTTTACCATAACAGACTTATTCGATTTTACAGATTCTTTGATACTATCGTTTAATTTCCTCCCAATCTCCTTTGGGGGGAAAACAGAGCTCTTTTTTTGATGTGACATTACAGAGATCTAGCCAAAAGAAGAAGTTAAACTCTAGAAACTTGCTAAAAGGTTTAGAAATTGTCCCTGTATTCATTTAACTTGATAACCTGCAAATTTCTTTTTTACCACATTTCTTATTTACTTAACTACTCTTCCAATGTAATTTAAGATTATATTTTTAATCAGGCTCAATATCTGGAGCCTATTAGTTACGGCGAATTTTCGTTCGCTGCAAGGGACTGTCACATTGGACGCAGAAGCTATCACTACTGTGTATAGCGATTAGATATTTATTTGAAGCAGGAAAGAAGATAAAAATCAATGATGCCCTCACCAGGATTGGAAATCCGAAACTTCCGATTGCCAGCGATGTGTTTCCAATTACAACGCGCATGTAAATGAGTGAAGTGATGAAGGAGAAAGGTCCTTATATTTTCTCCCAATTAAAGAGCGACTGGGAAGGAAGAGGACCTAGGAGGCAACTCATTTTAGTCGAGAATTCACTACTATACAGCAAACAGAATTTTTGGAGCGCAATAACGTAGAGAAATCATTTGTACCCTCGCAGGGATTCGAAGTTCCAACTGGCAGCTGAACATGCTTCTAATTACGTCACGAAGGTACGCAGTGAAGAAGATAATTTACTATATTAAAAAAAATACTACTATTTATTACAAATCATTCAGCAAGTCTCAAATGAACTGTCCTCTACTAGGTGTGAAAAGGCCAAAATAAATTAGGCTAAAATTACAAACATATCTTTGAATTTCAAATCTACTACACGTATAGTACACGTAAAAGTATAGTATACGTAAAAGGCTTATATAGGGCTAGTACGCGTAAAATTCTTACCTATTTGAAACTATAATCTTACCATAGGAAATTTAAATCTCGCTCACCATAAAATCAAAGACCTTACTGAATCAGTCTGAATCTGAACAAACTCTGGATCAGTTTTATTCTTACCGGTAGGAATCTTTAACAATTTAATTTTAATATTAACAAAATGGATTAAATTAAAACTTTAGAACATCTTCAAATATATTTCATTTACTTTTTTTAACTTTTTTTAAACTTTTTTTTAAACTTTTTTCTTCGCAGCAGCATACCATGAAATTAATTCATAAATGAAATTCCAAATATAAATAAATAAAATATAAATGAAAAAAATGATAAATTTATAAATGAAATTTTACTTTTCTTAATATTAATAATAATAATAAAATTGGCCTGCTTTCAAAAGTAGAAAACAATTTCACTAAATCCAACTTTAAAAAATTGGCTTAGAGGCCTAGAAAATTCTGCAGAATACATGACATTTCGATAATCCTTTGAACATAAAAATTAATAAAATTCAGAATATACTTACCTAATAACAAACACATAAGGAGGATAGGCAGGATTTGGTTGAAGGTACACTGGAACGTATACTTTAGACCGTGGGTAAACAGGACTTTGAGGTACAAGGATGCGAACAACATCATCACTTTTCACCTCCTCATAGCTACCATGCGCTCCAGATAATGGGATCTCATCTAGATATACACTCGGTAAACCAGCAGGTACTGCTACTGGAAGCGCCGTGGTATCGCTGCATTCCAAAGATCCACCTTGAAGAATAGCATATTCCACTCGAACCCACGTCTTCTGGGTTTTCGGACTCTTCCATGCTGGTGATTCTAATGGAGGCCACCAGGACACAGGTAACGTGGCTTGAGCTAGACATACACCGTCACGACTTTCACTTGGACTGCAGGCAGCCATTAAATGCTGATCACGGTTGTGCACATAAAGAACTACACACAAAGAATCAGCGACGGCCATTTTACCCCCTTCAGTTGCGTCTTCAGCGGTGGGCACATTTCCTGGTCTGCGCTTAGGGTCCGATGCTCTTGCACTGTGGAAAAGCACCCTTAGTACAGGTCTGTCCCGTCGTACTTCCCGAGTGACCAGGCGTGCTGTAATGTCTCCAGTAAACTGAAGAAGAGATTCTATTCTGGCATCTCCAGAACTACTGTCATTGGATCTTGGGAGAGATGAGGCAGAATGGACAATTTGCTTTGCAACGAACGGTCCGAATTGGGACCGAAGAGTAACTGGTGCATTAGAGTGGAGTAAAGTAAAACGCCGAATTTCTTCCTCGTCATCAGGGCTGCCGATGATTCTGTCGTCCGAAGGATGGGTCCGTAGGAAAAAACCTCCGTCTCGTCCGTCCAACGTAACATCGACTTTGCCATTTCCCGCTATAAAAGAAAATTCCATTTTTATAATGGATGGCAGGAAACCGTAGTAATAACAAAAATAAGAAGAAAAAAAATCAGAAAAATGTATGCGCACTTAACATGCGGTGGCGCTGCAAGCACCGTTCACGAAAACACGGTATATACGACTCTCTCCAGAGACAGCTGTTTTCGGAGTGATCGATAAAATCGTCATGCTACAGAGCGGAAGATTAGAGGTTTTGTCCTTGCGGGTAGCATTGACCAAATAAACATTTAATTTACAGGCACTCTCCATTGGTAAACATTACCTAATAACTAAACCAGACCAAGGGACCAATTTTTTCGAATGCCACAATTAAAGTTGGCGTCACGAGACCCGGCAATGTTCTAAAAATCAAATACAGGCAGAATCACGTAACAATCTCCACTGCAAACGAAAGAAATTTTTTTCCTGAGTGTTAGTATCGAGCTTGGTTAATATAATATTACCTATCATAAATTAGGTTTAATACAATTTTCCTACAGTTGTTACGTGTACAGTTAATTGAAGTCCTTAAAGTGTCAGAGTGGGATCAAACATTGGCAGCATACTCGAAGCTAATGTATTCATAATCTTTAGCGACCAGACACAAAATGTCTTCAGAAGCGGCCAGACACACTGCCCAGCTACAAGCAGTTGCTTGAACAACATTGATCAATGTGTCTTCATGGAGATTGCTTGCTGCACATGCCTCTGTAATTGCTTGACGAAGGACTTCTAATATAATCGATTTCCTGCTTTATACGAAGGTCCTCCAAGGCCATTTTGATAAGCTATCATACATTGTAAGTTACATATTACAGACTTGAGAGTACCGGCATGTGTCGCCAAACACCATACTCCATATTGCAAAGATAATTCAATTCAACTTCGAAATCAATACGCAGATCTCATCTGTGAGTTTACATTTTTTCTGATGCACCATGTAGAAAAATAAGTTTAACTAAAATAAATTATATTAAGTTCCTATGGGAAAAGGTACACATTATGGCATTTACTGGTAACATTGAATATGATTGCAGCAATAAAATCAAGTTAATAAAGTTACAAAAAAATCAAGTTAAAGTTAAATTTAACATGAAATTAATTCCATACTCAGAAGCTATATAGGTATATTATGTTGACGTGGTTTTGTTAAAACTGTGTCAGACAAAACCTGTATAAGCTGCCGCTCGCTTTTAAAGACCAACGAACGCACTATTTGTATATCTAATACAGATTTTATTAATGTTTTTCTTAATGGAGACACAAACTGCCGTCTATTAAACTCAGCCGCTTAATAAACTCATATGCGTTTAGAACGGACGCAATTTTAATAAGCGGCCAATAATGTATATAGAAAAATGTTATTTCATATTAGAGAAATTGTTTAAAGCACCTATCAACAAAAGCAGTTCACGACATTATTTTTAATTGTAGTATAAATAATAATTTATCGTTCTTGATTGTTTTCAGAATGCATACAAATTTATCGCATTAATTTGTTTTCAGAATGTATACAGGTTTTCTGTAAAATCGACATGAAATTTAAGTTTAGATTTTACTTAATTTTATAAATATTCAGCCGGAGAAAAGAAATTTTTGGAAGAAAAGTAGAAATTTGGAAGATATTGTATTGCAACTGCGCGAAATGGAAGTTTTTTTTCCTTTATCCTCCAAACGTATTCTCACGCATAACCGATTCTCAGAGTATTAGTATTCATCGAAACACAAGATCATGATTTTACCATTCATGCTTAATCAGTTGATTATTGAATAAACTGAGCAACTTTGTAGCAATAAAAGCATTCATTAACACTTAAATCCTCACTTTAATTTTCGTAAAAATATTTATTAGCTTTATTTCATAAAAGATATTTCTAACGTCACATGTAGGTTAGCTGATGCAAAATCATTTTTTCCTCTAATTTGTTTTTACGTTTTATCATTCTTAATTCTTTTTCTTTTTTTTTTAATTTTTAGTAGTAATTTCTTTTGCCTAGATATTAAACTGTAATATGAATTTTACAAACTGCGATTTTTTTGAGGGGGAAGGGAGCAAGAACGATAAATTATTATTTATACTACAATTTCATTCACTTAATTCTACTGACTGTGATTAAATATAACTAAATAAATCATATCATCCTAGAGATTAAAAAAGATATGCAAATTTTACTTTTCTGTAATTGCTTCAAAATAAGAGATACGGAAAATGCATTCATCTGTAAGAATTAAATACTTCATTAGCCTTGTAACTACACGAAGAATACAGCACATGCATGAATAATGACTAAGCACGTCGATATTTGTTACCATAGTAACAAAAGTTAACATATTATACTAAAGACTGATTGGATATTAGCATGAAACAGTAAAGCTTCTCTGGAAAAAAACTTGGTAATTTATTCTTGTAAATGGTTTAAAGAAAAATACATCTGCGTTCTAACAACAGCTAGGACGAACTTCTGATGATTTCTTTGGCAGTATTACAGCGCAAAAAGTTAATTAGTTTCTTAACTCTTTATTTAAATGCGGTTAAAATCGTGTTTTTCCATGAGAACTAATGGACACACACACATCAATAAAAAAAGCTAAAAAACTATGGGTATTATTGGAAGTCGTTAACGATTTTTCTCCCAGTTGAGTATGCAATCCTACAGTGAATAAAAGAAAAAAAAAGCAGATAGTTCCCCACCACTCATTAATCTGGATTCAAATGCTTCAATAATAAATCATTTTCAAGCATTAACAATGTTCCAAAGGGCAGAATATTTGATGATTTGCAAGTTGCAATTGCCAAAAAACAATTTTTCAGCTATAGCCTCATTGTGGTTTTTTATGTCGCCTTTCAGATTTGTTGAATGAATGATCGGGCAGAAAAGAAGTTAAAAACAAATGCAAATGGTAACGTTAGATTTAATTCATTATCATAAATCGCTTATAAAAAATCAGACAATTCTGTATCAGATACGTAATTACAGCATTAGAAGCATCTTTTGTTAATTAAAATTATGTGTCAAACATTCGCGAAAAGACTATAAATAAGGAGACTATAAATTAAATCTCCGTTGGATAGATCATTAAAAGGAAATAACATACTTAAAGGCCATCGATGGATGGTCATCGCTGGGAGTTGGTGAGCAGCTCTTTAAATCCTCACAATACATACATACACTGCCGACAGGACCTAACGGTTGTTATGCGAATGGGAACATTTGGAAAGATATATTTAGAAGGGAGTATTTCGGAATGTCTCGAGATTGTGGTAAGAAAGACTACAATATATTGCATACCGTCGAGGAGACTTAACTGAGTCGAGGAGAGAGTATATACTGGGATATGAAATTAAACACTCAAGTGGATGTGTTTGGAAAGTTGGGGGGGATGTTATAGGACGTCGAGAGGATGCGATAAGTATAACTTTAAATCCTTATAATATCCGTACATTGTGGATAGTCACGATATCCTCAGACTTTAAGCAGTCGGAAGGTTGTGTTTAGAAAGTTAAAAGAATATTTTGGGTATCCCTGGAGATGTGCGCTGATTTCGTCAGCAACACCCTCAAGATATCTTGAGAAGGTTTTTGTGTTATATGCGAAGCCACAGGCCGCCTCCGTCCTAAAGGTTGATGGTCACAGATTGTAAGGCGATGCCGTAAATTTAGACACCTCCGTCCACCGTATGAAATTCAAATTAAGCCAAAGAATACCAGCGATCTTTAAGAAAGCTGTAGCAAGTCGTATTCACAAGTAGTCAACTCGAAGGTCACCGGTACCGAGAAGAGTATTGCATTTAAACATATTATTAGTAAAAATTTGTACAGAAAGATACTGATGACGTCAAGGCCTTTGACTGCATGACCTGTGACCTTGACTTCATCAATACATGACCCGTGGCTTTAATAAAATTATGGACACAGGTGGACATCAAGGCTATTAACAGCGAAGACCTATGGACTGATAGTCACTTGTGGTCAATTCAGGTGGACGGTATGAGAAGCGTATTAAATTTAGATACCATATTAAAATTAAAATAAACTGAAAGACAGAGATGATCATTGTAAGTCTTAGTCACAGGTTACCTACGGTTTGATATCATAGCTATTGGTCAGAAGTCTAAATGAAACCAAAGGAAACTGGTGACCTTCAAAGACCATAGTCAACGGTGACGAAGTATAGTTGACAGTTGCATGCAGTCAACTCATAGGTGATTGATATGGGACAGCGCAGTAAATTTAGACAGGCCATTAGACTTAAATTCTGTTGAAGTACATCGCTGATGTCAATACTGTTGGTGACTGGAGACCAACTCTCTGATCAAAAGTGTTGGGGGCAATCAATTTCGATACATTATTAAAATAAAAATTAAACTTAAAGGTAACAGTGTCCTGAAAGTGCGTAGGATTCCGGTAACATAAGTTTCACCGGTTACCTAGCGCTTGCGAGTAAACTTAGGTACATTATTAAAATAAAATTAAACTGAAAAACAACGGGGAATATTGTATCTGAAGGTCACAGGTGATCTGTGATTCTTGACCATCTCTACCACTGGTCACAGGTCCAAAATTAAACCAAGGTAACTGGTGATGTTCAAGGAAAATGGTTACCGGTTTCCAAGTATAGATGTCAGTTAAAATTAGTAAACTCATAGGTCACTAGTGTGGGACAACGCAGTGAGTTTAGAGAGATGAATAAAATAAATTGAAGGACACTGTTGATGTCAACGGGATTGGTGATCAACTCAATGATCACTAATGTGGAACGAGGGGCAATAAATTTAGCTATATTATTAAAAAAATAATAGCGCTATTTAAGCCATTGGTCACTGGTGACCTAGGATTCACAGTCACATGTAGTTAACAAAGCGACCGGTATGGGGCAGATAATAAATTTAAATAGATTATTAAAATATTATTTGAATTCAAAGACAACGGTGACTATAATAGCTATTGTTTACAGGTCACCTATAGGTTGTATGTTTCTTGTGATATATCGATTCA